TTCAAATCCCAACATAATTCAGCGCTCAACCGACATTTATCAAATAGTGACAAACTATTGATTTTATAAAACAACAAAAAATTCAACTACCTTTCAGAAATTTCTTCCATAAAATTATATTCAAAAGAAAGTTTATAATTGGAAATTTTAATTTTTCAGAAATATTTTTGTTTTATGTAGATTTACACAGCAGCTGTCATTTCTGATGAAAATAATGTCACTTAATTTTGCTATGTAATCTATGGCATTGTCACCATAATTTTTTTTATTTGTGTTGGGAGTTATCTCCCTTAAAAATCCTTCATTTATAATAACGCTGAATATTTCATGACAGATGATTACTGCATATGCAACAAAATTTCTTTGATTTCAATTCTTTATGCTTTCAATTTATACAAGAAAATACACAATTTCATAAAATATCATAAAATCTTATTATTATTGCATTCTTAACCGCCCATCAACACATAAAAGGTCATTAGGGCCATCAAACGATAAAACACACAGCGATCCAAAAAATAACATCAAACAAAATAAAACGTAAAAGATAAATGCTAAAAACTTAAATGATTATATTATCACAAAAGATAAAAATGGTAAGTCATATTCTATAATACAGACCAACATCTTTCAGATAACTCATAATAAAATATCACAAGATCTGTTCCAAATTTTCATTGGATGATGCTAATCTATCACTTAAAGAGGTCTTTATGGGCATGTAGTTAGAACTAATGATTAATGTTAATTTGTAAACATATATCACAAAGAACCTGGTTTGTGTGGTAAACACCAGCAGGCCAGGTCATCCTCAACCTGTACTGTCCCCAGGTTTTAATTACAGAACTGTTAATTAAAGTGTCAGACTCCCTGCCCTTTCATATTAATCTGAACTTGTAAACAAATCTCACAATGGCTGCTTCACATGAACCCAGAACTATGTAATTATATACAATAGTCCTGCACCAACGATCAATCAGCTTAACACCCTCTGAAATACATCTATTACCCCAATATATCTTCGCGTTCTTTCATTATATTGTCAACATTATTGTATCATAAGAATATGTTCATTGTCACACACGCCTCACATAATTAGAATTCTGTTTCCAGTATCCATAAATCATTCTACAATTATGTCAATCTGATTTTTCTTTTTGTATTTCTTACTTATAAAGCTAACAAGACTTCATGCAGTATACACCATCTTGAAATTCTTTCTGCCACTTTGCCTTAAACACATGCGTGTCCTATTGAATTTCGCTTCTGTTATTTGACCCAGAACGTCTTCTTCCTAACAAATCACTCGAATGTCATCAATACATTTCAGAGGAAATTGATCTTCAATATTTCATTGCCATTTATTGCAACTATATCGGTGGGCTGTCAAACATCTCTATGACTTTGAATCATTTTCTCCTTGGTTGAAACATTGCGAAATGGGAAGCTGTCAAACGTTTTTGAAACCACTGCTATGTTTTGTACATTAGCAAATTTGTGGCAGTGATTCTTTGGTTTTATTTTATATTTTAAAACTGAAATACAAGTTAAGTGTTTGCATGACTATGATCAACTTCCTATCATCAATCAGCATAAAAGAATGAAATATTTATTTCTTTTTGATCTCATCTAAGATTATCAATCATTTATCTCCAAAAATCATATTTACTGCCTCCATGTTTGTTTTCAAAACATCTCAAATACTTTTGAATTAATGTCTTCCTAAATGTCTTTGTACAGAATAACAGAATTTAGAATATTTCGATTTTTCTTTTATTTCGATCATGGTGATACCGTCCCCATTTCAAAATTTTATTGAAATATTGTAAACTTTTTAAAAGTGAGCTTGTGATTCTACAGTAATCCATGGGAAAAGTGATTAAGATTTTACAAATTCTTAAAACCGAAAAGCAATGAATTATTTTCCTTCCGGTACACATCCTACCAATGTCGATAGGTTGTTTTTAAATGATAGATCAATTTTTTACCAGCAAAGTTAAAAAAAAAGTTTGCTTATGTAAATACGATATTTAAACTATAGCTACAAAGAAATCTAATGTGTATGCTTAAAGTGAATATCGAAATAGCAAATAAAGATTTTTTTAATTCGTATCAAGAACCTCACACAGTAATCTGTTGTCTATGAAAGCTTCTGTACAAACACTATCAATCTAATGATACCTAAATGTGACACAGTTATTATTCTTATTGAATTTGTTTCATTACAAAACATGGACAAATCTTTTATTTTCTCAGTTCCATTCTCCTTTTCCGCTTCATTCCTTTTCCCCAAATTCCCCTTGTCTTTGATTCTTCCAACCAACCACGCAATAAACCTGAGCCAGTGTTAGCCACTACCCTTGGGGAGACAACAGTACAAAGCGAGCCTCTTGACAAATCATCAAATCAAATGACATAAAACTTTATTACATGGAGAGAATTCATCGCTGGAGGCCCAAACGCGTACATCTGTCCAATCATTTTTTAGGTTTCATTTTTGGGGGGGTTTTCCCAGGAGACGGACACTACTATTACTGTGATATGTTATAACTTTTTATGTCATTTTGTAGCTCATTACCAAACAATCTCACAAACATATCGGAGAAGCAGTTTTCATGAATTTATGTCGATCGTATCCCGATTTAATTTGCCGCACTCCATCCAGCTATATACATGATTTATTGGTGAGTTTTTGCTGACTATAAGAATTGCCACCAGTCATGATTACCTATAGTAGTTTATCACATTATCTAAGTATCTCCGTTTATTTATCCCCTAAAATTCTGTTAAATAAACTCTTGATTGCAAAAAAACCAAATATAGACTATTCTAAAGACTCTAAACATTCAATATGATGTCCATGTTCAGGGCCTGATATGACTGCTCTTACGACTGTTGAAAATATATCGTCTTTATTTAAGGCCTGAACTTACTCTAATCAATGTTAGCATTCAAAGCATCAGAATGTTCATGTTCAGGGCCTGATATGTCTACTCTAATGACTTGACAACTTAATGTCCATATTCAGGGCCTAAAACTGTATCTTTAACTGCAAGTTCCGGAATGCCCCAAATTGTTTGCCTGGCGAATCAAATCCAAAAGAGTGTAGCAGTCCTACAATTATCTTGTGAAGGTGATGCTTCATCAAGCTGTATAAAGTTTGCTTTACATTACTGATCAACAAATACAATCAACAGCCTTCTTAATTCTAATGCTCTACCTGCATCTTTTCGCGTCCAAATTGTTCCCAAAATGCCAAAAGTAATTGAGGATCATATACACCGAATATCTGTCAAGGTCTCTTCATGGTTTCAAGGTCAGTTAATTCGTATATGAATGTCCTATGTTTTATTTCAAATGAATTATAATGCTAAGTATATACTTCCTTATAATTAGGTTTCTCTCTCGTCTAAACTATTGTCATACGCTTTTAATCTTTTCGGAATTATTTTTGTCAATAATCAGATTTCCATTACGAGGCCTCATTTCTCATCTTCACGGCTTCCTTTGTAACCAAATTAACATAATGACACCTAATTCTTGCTAATTCTGGATAAATAACTTCACTACAATATCTAAGACTGGGAATAAAAAATCGTTAAAATCTCAAATTTCCAATAAAACATTCACAATATCTTTTTTTCCATTATTTATTTTAATTGGAACAAAATTAAATTTGTGCATTTGTACCTCGTTTCTACGTAGCCCTAGGATCCAATCAAACAGACTTCCAAAAACAAATAATTAAGTTTTATATGACTTGGAAAACAGTTATTATCTTGGCACCACATGGTCTTATTGTATGAGAAGATTGGCCCGATCCCCAGGAGTCAAATCTATATCCTTGTCCACAGGCATTATTTTATTTATTGTCGTAACAAAGTAATAAAACGGTGACTATCAAATTAAACAAAATACAAAATCTGGCAATAAACAACTGGTAAACAATAGCACACATGTTCACTGTCCAGCGATGTTGGTGAATATTTACCGTACTATTCAACCAATAAACCCATGTCTGGTAATAACCCCACCTAATCATTTTGTATATATTTTCCTGTAGTGATCACATATGTTCACAGTTCAACAAGATTTGTAGATATTTACCGTAATTATTTATCAATATGCTTATGTCTGGTAATAAGCCCATGCAGTCATTTTGCTGTTACGTAAATTTAGAAACAAACACATACATTTTCCTGTCACAATTTTGAATCTTCACTGTCCAGCGAGATTAGCGAATATTTACCATAATTATTAACCAATATGCTCATGTCTGGTAATAAGCCCACACAAGTATTTTCCTATTCCGTAAATTTAGAAATAAACACATACATTTTTCTGTCATAATCTCACATGTTCACTGTCCTGTGAGATTGGCAAATATTTACCATAATTATTAACCAATATGCTCATGTCTGGTAATAAGCCCACACAATTATTTTTTTCTGTTCTGGAGATTTAAATTTTGGAAAAATGTAAACCATTTCCAGAAATAATACATAATGTTTACAGTCCAGCTAGATCAGGGATGGTTGGTTTACCATTGATTTATTTTCTATTAACAGCCAGGGTCATTTAAGGACGTGCCAGATTTGGATGGTGGAGAAAAGCTACAACGAATATCTAGTTAGTGTTCCGTTTTGGCCTCGAACCTGTGACTTAAAGGTGGATGTCTAGTGATAGCCAAAGATATATGCCTCAACTATGTGGCCACAGTGGCACCAGGGAGAGGAATAATTTAGGCATTTATCTATCAATAAGCCGATGTCTGGTAATAAGTCTATAAACGTGGCTAAATAGAATAGTTGCGATAAATGTATTATTATTGTAATGGTCTCTCACAATCCCAGTCCATCTATAAAAAAATCAGTGAGAATTATTAACTGTATTTGTCTACCAATATGTAATTAGTACACCTCAACAAGGACTTAGAGTATTAGGAAATTATCATGGATTATTGTATGTGATGATAAGACAGTTCAAACATTGCCACTCACCTCCCACTGTCCAGGTTGATTGGTTTACCGTCCTTCAGCCACGACACAGCCGGCGTCGTCGTGCTGCACTGGACACCACAGTTAAAGATGGCCGCCTCACCCCGGTTGACGATGACATCGCTCGGCTCTGTTGTGAAACGGACATCACTGAACACTGACGAGTCGCCTGCAAATACACAAATTGTACTGATAAATAATTCTGATTTCTTTTTATCAACCATTTTTTAAAGGCAAGTTTATAACTTTAAAAAATCAACCTGAAATACTGGTAGAAGTCTGAATTTTCACAGAACTGAAATAGACAGAAACTGATTTATTATCAAGACTTACTGCTTGGAAACATAGCAATCAATCAATAAGAGTCGAAATTTCAGTCATACTCTTTCAAGGCAACATGTATGACAAAAATCGGTAACAACTACATAACATCTATTGGGCACAATATCCATGTCTGGTAACAGGTAAACCTGAAGATCTCTCATACAATACTTTATTATACAACCTTAGTTTTTACCTGCAAGCTGATTGGTCAGAACACCTATCACATGTCTTAATATATTGTGATGTTACACCAAAACAAAATAATTCCTGTATGTGTGGTGCATATAACGGCCAAAGACTCTGTCAGGCATCTCACAGGTGAATAAGACAATCCAGTAACCAGGGTTGCAATTTTTGACCAATCAGATGCGTAGAATGGCACAATATTATAAAACAATTATTGACACAATTTCAGGTGAATACAAGGATTTATTAACCCAAGAAGATGATATTTCGTTAAGCTGGAAAACAAGTCAATAACTGCATAACACCATTGTCCCACGTAAGTCTAGCCCTCATTGTTGCACGTAATGGTTTTACACCCAGAACGTACTGAATAATAAATACGGTATAACTCCACTATAAAGAGTCAAAGGTTTAAAAAATTCAATCTATCGAGCATCTTAGAATAGATGTATATTATTTACTTTACTGTATAGACTGATTAGCATATCCAACTCAAATGATGTAATTTTTATTGATTTTTGTTGTGTTATTTCATTTTTTTGGTTTTTCACTGTATATGACTTTTTCATTCAAGATCAATACTACATTTGATTACACACTTTGTTTCTTAAACAATCAAGTTGAAATCAGGATTTCACGCAAAAATAATATTTATGTCTTGCAGAAATGAAATTTCGTCACTTCAGTCGTAAATCTAATACCAACATGGCCTTGATTTGAATCATTTACACCATTGCTTTGGTGTTTAGTTTGCTGTTTACGATTGTAAGCACCTTTGAAATGTAAACATCTTTCTCCATTAGAAATATCACAACGTTTCCTGTGTTAGCGAAAAAAATGTGAGAACAAACAATTTTTTCACCATCAATTTTAACAATATCTCAGCATGCCATGGCTCCACAACGTCGTCACTCACTTGCCTGTTGCTTTCTCTACACAATGTGTTTTTCCCCTAGCTATGGTTCTACCTAGTAATTAACCTGGTCCAATGAAACAGCTGTACAATGTGGACTTAGCGCAACCCTGACAGGGAGGTGGGGGGAGATTTTTGTCCTGGTTACAACCTATATGTCCTTACTTAAGGATAACAGCCCATATCACAATGGAAATGTGGTATCACAATGAAGATGTCCTGCCCTCTATTACCTATGATTTTGGGTAAACACAAAAAATGCTTATGACATCAGTCAGAACTAGAAATATACAAACTTTTCTTATTCAATCAATCATGACTACTTTTGTAAAGGTAGAATTAATTTATCAACAGAGGTCAAGTAAAAAAAAATTACATGAAATAATTTCTTCTTTCTAATTTTAATCTAAATATTTTGTCCTTTACAATTTCAATACTTACCTGAAAACATACAAAACAATTATAGTTGAAACTGTGCTGACAGCTATATATAGTAACTTTAGGTTTATCTTGTTTTCATATATTTAAATATTCAAATACTCAAACTTGACTTTGAATATTATTTTTTAAAAAAATCATTGAAAAATTATTTTAATAATTACTCTTTGTTTAGGATGGACAGTCATTTTTTCGTCTAGAATTAAGCAGACAGACTGCGAAGTATTCTGATTCCTTCAGCCTGTCAATATTAATATTGTACTATTCACGATTTTTATTGCTATTGTACTCTCCGCATTTCTCCTGTGGTTAGTCACCACCATCACAATAATCAATCCAATCTGTTGGTCAGATAAAGCCTCTTTTTTAAAATTGTGTGTAATTATGCAAATTGTTGAGTGCTTTTTAATACCTCAATCTGATTATTTTTACGCCTGATTGAACACGAAATAGTGTACACACAAAAATAGACATGGTATTGTTCCTTTGAAGTCCCATCTTTTGTTTTGTAAACTGAGAAAATGTCAACAAAATTAAATTATTATTGCATTTTTATTTACATGATCACAAAGACCTAATGCCCTTTAGGGTTAAACGGTCAATTATAACCTGCCATCCCTACTGAACAAAATAGAATAACCCAGATCAAACAACAAAATAATCCAACGAGATTGTTTTGGGTGATATAGAACAAAGATCCCACTGGCATGGTTACAATGTCGTGTAGGACAGATGTGTATGTGTGATCCACTCAGAACGATGAATCTGTCACAACACAGAAACATTTCCATGATAATACAAACAATTTCGCCCTGACATTACATTTTTGGTGTCTTCTTCATCTTCAGCATCATTCAGTACGTGTCCTGTATTGGGTCAAATTCCAAGCAGTTGTTCCAAGTTTTTATATCATTAATTTGAGCTAATAAAATTTTATCTAACATAAAGTATTGAGTTTTTAGAGTCTTTAAATATTATGTTTTTAAGCCTAACAACAGTGTTAATCACTACTGTGGGATAATGTTCGAATCGAAATATCTTGCACATACTAATCTCAGTTATCTGCCCTTGTCAGTTGTAACTCTGTTATTCTCCTCACCTCGTAGTAGAAACTCTGCCAGTTAATCACCAAGTTAAATTGTCTGCATTGTAAGATAGCATTCAAGTGATGAATGATTGTAAATTCTTACAGAAGGCTTAGGTTAAAATGTAAATCCATTAACACCCTCATCAGTTACGTCCCCTTGCATGAAGAAAAAAATTAGTTATCTCCCCTTTTAAAATAAGTTGCATTAGATATCTGCATTCAAGAATAAAACTCCTATCAATCTTCTGTTATTCAAAGTAACTTATTTATACTGCTTCAATAGACATTTACAATTTTTCGTCATCAGCGTCATTCTGTTCATACAAAGATTTGTTATATTTTCCATCCATTCTTCATAATCTTTCCAATTAGGGCTCCACCAAAAATATGCCAGGTTTCTATCAATTTTCCGCCATTCAGTAGCCATGTCAGCAACATTGCTTGGTTCTAAGTACTACAGGGATAAGGGTATTGATTTCTAGCCTAATGTGAAAGCCTCTCAAAAACTCTTTTTTATAATCCACCAAAAGGTTGGGCTTTTTTTAGTTTCATCAATTCTGTGTAAACATGGGATGGTACTAAATTAAAAGCGAATACAATAGATAAGTACCAAGTAAAAACACCAAATGTACAGAAAATTCAAAGCTATATATCAAACTAGGATTTATCTCTCATAATCTGATGTTGTAAAACTATCTGTTTCCAAACAGAAACTTTCACTAAGTTTAATATTTTTATTCATTTTATTAAAACATGGTTAACAAATCTGTAAAATTCTGACTAATGTGTAGTTGATATAATTTTCAAATTTTACGAAACGTATTTTTGGAAGCAAAATAAAAAACACAATTTCAATATTGTGTAAAAAGTTACTGAAGACCTACGACTTGTTAACAAATGTCACCAAAATTTATAGCCTTTGAAATTTCCGACAATAAGATCCATATAACAGATAGGAGATTTAGGGGACTGCTACCTAGAAACCAAGCAATATATTTAAAGCTTAAAAGATTTCCATTTTAAAAGTTCAATGCTATTCTTAATGTTGTTTTTCAGAGAAATGATAATTCTGTCAACAACCTGATCGTGATTATTTTGAATACATATGATACACAACCTTTTGATTAATATTTCTTTCTTTCATACCGAATAATACTTGATACGACTTGATTTAGCTGTTTCTAGGAGACAGTGTATATGAGATTGTCAGACATTGTGTATGGTTACAGTCGCCTCATAGAACATAGCCCAGCTACTCTGTCGACTCCAAGTCTCCAATGCTTCGCCACATTTTCCAGACAGACGTCCAATACAGCCATCCCATCATAAACATTGGCTTACACTCTGATTAAAAACCAAACTTAAAACTCCAGTTTACATATCAACAAAGAGATAATGAAACATGAAACATGGAAAGCCAAGTTTATTTGGTTTTCATCACAAAACATTGTTTTCCTCAATCAATTCAAGCACTTAAATAACCCAGACATTGTTTAATCATAGTCTATAGTATGCTTTACCTCCCAAGCTGGCAAGAAATGGGAATGACTGTTTTTAAACATAATATGTTGGCTTATTTATTTTGAAATTACTGACAGATTAAAATGCATCCCTGCAGGGGGCTGGCAATCAATTCTACACCTGTCTCCTACCTGATAACACATATACTTCTTGGGTTAGAGGTCAGAGGTGAGAGATCACTGCTATTGTTGGCATCTTAATTTGTCTTTTATACAAAATAAATTGATAAAAAGATATACATGGCATGTGAGAACATGTACCTTTGACACTCTAGACAAAGAGTACTTTTTAGAAATATTTACGATGATATTTTCTAATGTATCTACATTCTGACATAACAGAAAACTGCAAAATGGGCATGTTATCAAATCACGCTTCAGAATTCCCTTCAGTACAATAAAAATGTGGAACTTAACCATTAACAAAGCAAGCTACAATTTATGACTTGTACACTGGGTTCTGTCAGAAAACTTAAACTCTACTTTTTGAATAATCTTAAGAATTTAACTTTATCAAACAATATTGACTTTTGTATAATCTTAAGCATTAATTTTTTCCAGCAACATTGCAGCTCCATCATCATATTTTAAAATTTAAAGTTTTTAAAGTTCTTGAACTTCTAGAAATCTCACTGATAATCCAATTAACATTCAGCACAAACTGTACATGTACTAGACAGTACATTATATCATCCTGTTAT